CCCTGTGTTGTTGGTCCCCGGTGGCGAGGAACCAACACCTAAGCAGGCAGCATCTAATCTAGAAAATACCATCTGAGGTTGAAGTGCTTCAGATAGGGACATCAGCTCAGTGCCTGGGTGAGATCTCCCCACAAAGGGAAACATTAGTCAGCATTATAGCACTAATAGGAGACAGCCTGCTAAAAACACTGTAGGTTTCCAAACCAGGCATATGTACCAGAAACATTAACACAACTGCCTGATAAGGTGCCTAAAATTCCACTCTTAAAGAGCCATAAAAGATCCTCCCTCTGGGTCACAGATAATTTTTTACCTTAGGAATTTCTAAAAACACTCATTACCTGAGCCATTTATCATTTACAGCTGAGGGGGAGGAGGTCTAGAGGCAAAACTTCACAGGACGTGGACCCCAGACACGTGGAGAAGGTATGTGAGAGGCAAGGAAAAGAAAAAAGGAAAGGTCCCGAAAGACGGGAAGCTGGCTGAGTCTGAACCTGGCCATTTCCCAGTCGTCCTCCAGTCAAAAGAACAACTCCGCCTGAGTGAGCAGGACCTCACCTCCACTCTCTGTATTTCCTGAGACTCTTCTGAGCTTCCCTGATGACCTACAGGGACGATGGGCAACTTTACAGATCACCACCTAGTGGCTAGGGAACATGTGACAGGCCACCTACCTCTTCAGCACATTCTGCACAGACTAGAACACTGTGAACACCTTTTATTTGCAGTGGGGTGGGGAACTGCCGCGGTAGAGATGGGAATTTAAAACTGTTGACCTGTCCTTACTCTGGGCCAGTGGTTCTCACCATGCAATCCCTGACCAGCAACAACATCATCACCTACCAACTTAGAAATGCAAATTCTTAGGAGCTACCCCAGACCCACTGAGTCAGGAACTCTGTGGGTAAGACTCAGTTCAAGTCTGAAAAATACTGCCTAAGCCTTACATCGAGGGAAAGTTTCCACCGTGTTTCAGGATTAGAGGGTGTCGTCCAGTACCGTAGAAGATGCAATGACCCAGTGTGGCCACACGGTGACACAATTCTGATGTCCTGACATGTAGCGGTAAGGGGCGCGGCAGGGGCAGTGCTGAAGGAAAAGAAAGGCCTCTGCCCGGATGTTGGTGGACTCCTGAAAAACTCAGGAGAATTAGAAAGCCAAGGTAAGCGTTTTTGTAAAAAATAAATTTAAGCCAGTCCCAAAGATGAAGTGGAGTTGGTCCACATAATTCATCTAGAAAGAGAAATGCTGGCCTCTACCAACTGCAAGTTTAAAAATCGCTTTCTTCCAGCGAAAAGGCAGCTCGCTGCAGGTGTAGTTGGTGTAGAGGGAAACAGATGGGCGGCCCCACCTTCCAGGAGGAAAGTCCAGTGGAATTTGAAAGTCTGACTTTCCAGGTGGGGAACCGAGAGGATGGTGTTTCCTTGTCACTCCTGACGCTTCTTTGACTAGGAAACGTCAAGTGCTGAGAGGAAGTTGAGGCCTGAACAGCCCCACCGCCATCACCTTTCCTGTGTTTGACTTCTGCCCTAAGTTCTGTAAAGGACAAGAAGTGCTTTCTGGGCCCAGATCTGCACAGCTGAGAAGGCCATTTTGGGACTGGAAACATAGCAGGGGCAATCTGAAAAGGGGACCACCTTCTCCACCTTTCACAGCACCCAGAGGTATACTAGAGTCTCCAATGAGCCACTAGGAGAGGGAGGTGAAGACCCTAGAAGACAGCCTGAGGCCACGTCAGGGTGATGAGAAAACTCTAAATATTCCCTTTTAGCGTCCCACTGAGGAGGGGTGAGGTCTCAGCCCCAGATGGCAGTCTCAGGCTTCCGTCCCTGGCCGCCTGGCCGCCCCGTGCAGCTGCCGGTACGTGGCGATGTTTGTCTTCTGCCTGAAGCTCTTGCCGCACACCTCGCAGCCGTAGGGCTCCTCGCCGGTGTGGACCTTGCGGTGCGCGAGGACGTGGCAGCGGCTGCTGAAGCTCTGGTCGCGGTCACCGCAGGGACAGGGGCGCTCGCCCGTGTGCGTCCTCTGCTGGATGACGAGGCGCGAGCTCTGGCTGAAGCTCTTCCCGCAGTCGCGGCACTTGGAAGGCTTCTCCCCCGTGTGGGCGCGCCGGTGCGTGATGAGGTTGGCGCGGTGGCTGAAACATGTGGTACAGTCCCCGCACTTTAGGGCCTCTCGTCCGTGTAGGTACGCCGGTGCTTGACCAGGTCCAGGCCGAGACGGCAGCGCTTGCCGCAGTCACTGCACCTGCAGGGCCGCTCGCCAGTGTGGACGCACCGGTGCGTGAGCAGCGACGAGCTGCGGCTGAAGCTTCGGTTGCACGACGGGCACGGGAATGGGCGCTCGCCGCTGTGCGTGCGCTGGTGGCGCGTCAGGTCCGAGCTCCAGCTCAGGGGCTGGTTGCATTGCGGGCACTGGAATGGCTTCTCGCCACTGTGGCTGCGCCTGTGACGGTTGAAGTTGGAGCGGTGGCTGAAGCCCTTGCCGCACTGCGGGCACTGGTAAGGCTTGGGAAGGTCCGGGGGAGAAAGGGGTTGCCAAGGACAGTCGACGGCAGCTCAGGGAATCAGCTCCTTGCCCTCCAAACTGCACCAGTAGAGAATCTTATGAGAAGGCTCTCGGGAGGTCTCGTCCCCACTGGGCAAGGCTGGGAAAAAGAGTCCCCGAGGTCTCCAGCTTCGCAGCCCTCCTTCCAAGGGGTAGGGGTTTCACGTATGTCACCTGCTAGGCGGAAAACAGAGGCCAGGTTCAGAGATGGGTGGAAATGGACTGGAGTGCACATCAAGAGAATCGTGCCCTCGTGTTGAGCCTACCAATGACCCACTGGGCAAATCACTCAGCAGCTATAAGACACTTTTCTCATCTGTAAAATGGGGGAGGGAGGGAGGACATACTTAACCGGTCTGTTAGGATGATTAAGTAGCTGCTTAATAAATATTTGCTGAATGGAGCACTTGGAAAAGTAAAGAGATACACAGATTCAAGGGGTCCACAATTACTTCAAACTCAGCGATCTGGCTTCTCCCTAGAAACCAGACAATCCAAAAACAAAATAAACGTAAAGTTATTTCTACTTGGTTATAGTAAGTTTAAATTTCTAATTCTGTTTTACACATAATTATTTACAGGGGTTGAGAGGCAGACACTTCCAAAATGGCTGAATGATGCACTCAGCAAATACTCTTTCCAAAATAGCAACAATAAAACTGGACAAACTTGTTAAAAAAACAATCAAGCAAAGACTCTGGAAATTGACTAGAGGCATCGAACAGAGTGAAAAGCATTTATTCACGAATATTTCTCGAACCTCAGCAAGGACAGTGAGAGGCTGGCACATTTTAACCTGGAGCTGTTCCCATCATCTACCCAACTCTATGGCCCCCAAGTTCTGCCAGGAAAGGGCAGGCCAGAAACATCAGCAGACTGACTTTATTCAGAACAGAACAGAGAAAATTCCAAGCCTGGGGAATTGTCCAAAACAATAGCGAGCTCAGTGGCAGTAACAGGAAAGGCCACCATCTCAGCCTGCCTGAAATCTACATACTTGAAGAAAGCAACAAACCTGTAGACCAGCCAGAAATTCCACAAGGAGATCTGGAGAATAATACGTCCAAAATGGGGTCTTGATAAGATCCTACATTCCCTTCATGATCTGGAAATCTGTGCACATGTGCAAGGCTAAATACACTAGCAAGCTGTTCATTTCAGCTGAGCATGAGGCCCTGCAAACACAGAAAGCAAAAGCCAAGACAGACTTGCAAACTGCCTGAAATTTTAATGCACTCTCCAAGCCACACACATCCACCAGTAAATGGTGGAAGACTGAATGGATCAAGGCGTTTAAGCACAACCTCTAACCAATCATTGTCTAACCAATAAACCATGTTGACCTCTAAGAAGTAAGGCTTAAAAATGATAATAAAAATTTTAAAATACTAT